CTCACCTTCTGATTCCCCAATTACACATTTATTAAAACACAATACTGTCCTACAAATCTCTGAGGTTCTGTTCATTTGCTTCAGACTTTTTTCTCTGTTCTTTGGATTGGTTAATTTCCATTAATCTACCTTCAAGTTCAATGATTTTCTTCTTTCTTTTATCTCAAATATGTGGTTAAACTAATCTAGTGAATTCTTCTTTATAGTTACTGTACTTTTCAGCTGTATAATTATAAATTGATTCTTTCTTTGAAGTTTCCAATTTGTTGAGATTTATTAGTTCACTCAATAGTTTTTTAAAATTTCTTTGCCATATTTATAATAGTTGCTCAACATCTTTGTCTGCTAAATATAGTATTTGCACTTACTAGTACCTGTTATTGAGTTCCATTTTTTCCTTGATTATTACTCTTTTCTGTCCCTTTGCATTTCTAATAATTTCTGGAGACCATATGTATTACATGTAGCAATTATAAATTTTCTTTTGTTCTTTTAAGGGTAGTCAGTTTATAGATATAGTAGTCAATTAACTAGCCTGGATTCAAACTGTGAAATATGTCTTTGCACAGTGTGTAGCCACTAATGGCTCTGTTCAGTTTTATTTTGTTTAGCTGGTTCCCTAGTATTTACTATATCGGCTGAGTTAAACTTTGTGAGCAAAGTTGGGGAGAGGTTCTGCTCAAATATCTCAAGCTTCCTTCCATTTTCTGCTGCCCAAATTGTGTGTGGATTGAGAAATGCAATCTAAGGCACGGCAAATCTGCAAATGTCTCCAACCTTTCAATTCTTACAGGATTCTGGCATCTCTTGCGTGCATGTATAGTTTACCAGTCAGCCAGAGTTGCATGAAGAGTTATCATCTCAGCGCTTCTATGGTCCTTTTGCTTCTAAAATTTCACTCTTTAATTTCTAGTTTCTCTTTCGCCTAACTTGAACCAAATCTACCACCTGTATTCAATAAAGCTATGGGATTTTCCTGCCCAAATTGGGATGGGGAGACTGCCAATGCCCCCCAGCAAAAAGGTAAAAAATTTGCCATTCTAACCCAATCCAGTAACAGTTTGTCAAAACTAAACACTTCTCAAATCATTGCTTCATTTTGGTCTTCCAGTGGTTGTCTTAAGAATTTTTTGAACTTGTACTGTCTTGTACTTGTTTTCTGCAGAATGGAATTGTCCATTTTCTTTATGCCACCATTTTTGGAAGTGGAGTCCTACTAATTTACTTTTAGAGTAGATGTAAAAATAGCTCTCTTGCACCACACCACACACACTCACACATATTGACCTCCTAATATACTTAATGTTACATCATAAAGATTTTTGGTTAAATCAATATTCAGTGTTCACATTACTACAACTGTAATGATATCTTGGCAATGTTACTTAAGTGTTCAACCTTCTGTTTTCCTGCTTTCTTTTTTGTGTTTAGTTTTCCAAGCACCTTTAGCTAATTTTTCCCATATGATGAAGTGACTTGTCTCAAGATTATTTGTTACATGTAGTCAAATGAATCAAAGAATTTGTTTCACCTTACAATTGAAAACGTCTTTACTATAATCTTCTCTCCCCTTGATTCAATCCAGACTGTTATCCTCTAGGCCTGCTGCATATCCCTGAAACTTCCTTAATCTGCTCTCCTGTGTTGAATAATCTGTTTCCTAAATCCCATGTCTTCTCTTTTGAAGTTAAATGCCTAGCTTTGGTAATAAACATCTTAAGGTAGATTCCTAAGAAAAATATCTCTGTGATCTATATTTTAAAACCATTTTACCAGAAATGTATTTGTTATCCTTACATTTGATTGATGATTTGTCTGTGTATAGAATTCTGGGTTAAATATTTTTTTCCTTCTAAATTATCAAGGTATTGCTTCATTATCTTCTAGCTTTCAATACTGCTATTAAGAAGTTCAATTCCATTCTAATTCCTAATCTTTTGTCCACTACCTGCTTTTTCCTCTCTAGAAACTTCATCCTTAGTGTTCAGAAATTACTTAATGAAGTGGCTTTGAGTAGCTTCCCTGACATCTCTCCATTAATTATACTTGATACTTACTGGGCCCTTTCTGTTGACAAACTTAAGCTCTACCTCTGGAAAATAGCTTTAATGTGTTTTTGGTGTTTTGTTCCTTGAAGTTCTATTCTCTATTCTCTCTTTCTACAATTTTGATTATCTAGAAGTTGGGTGTCCTTACAGGCTTGATCCATTTATTCAAATAAATATTACTGGATACCCACCATGTGCCAGATATTGTTCTAAGTATTGAGATTACAGTGATAAATTGTTTCTTCTCAGTGACTTTACTCTGTTTACTTGATTATTTATTTGTCTTTATCTCTTTCATGTTGGAGGTTTCCTCAAGTATTTGTTGATTGTCAGCAATCAATTCATATTTAAGTGTAAAGTACTAAAATGCCAAAAAGAAGTTTTGGGTGTAGGAACAAGCCTTGTTGACTGTAAGATGGCTGAATATGAGCTCATTTTTTGTTGAACGACCTCTAAGAATTGGTGTCTGCAAATCTTTTCTCCTGTTGGTATTCCTCCATTATTCTGAGATAGGGTTCTCAAAACTCCTACCTTGAGAATATTATCACGTTGAGACTTAGGAGTCTTAGAACTCCACATATAAACTTTGAATTAATTGTCCTGCTTCTATCTAGCCCTTGTCTCAGACAGTCTTCTCTGCTACCTGCTGCCTCCAAATTCTGACCAGTTCTAGGGTTCTACGGTGAGTACTGGCTCATTCCTCATCCAAATGATTTTCTGTAGACACTTATGAGTGTGTTCCCGCATGTCTCTCAGCTTTACAGCTTCCAAAGAGAGTTTGCTTACATTTCTTGTTTATGTCACTGTTTTCTCCTTTCCATTTCTCTTTGTCTCTGTAGATGTAAATCTTTTTTTATTCTCTAATGTTTTGACTAGGTTTCAATGAGGAATGAAAAGAATTTTAAAACTCAATTCACCTTAACTTGAAATTTCTAAGTGGTTGCTTAGGAGGCTTGCTTTCATTCTCCAAAAATAATATTGAGGGTAGCATCCTTTACTACTACTCATTCTTCCTTTTATGTTCACTCTGAGCAAGTAACTACTTACAAGATTCTGATTTAAAGAACAAAAGTTATCACCATCTGCCTTCCCTTATGTACAATAGCTTCACTTAAATTACAACTTCTAATTAATTATATTAAAACAATTATTTGTCACCCACAAAATTAACACAGCATTTTGTAGCTCTCTAGATATTTTTAAACTCTATCTTTAAATAGTGATATGTTTTAATTATCAGGATTTTCATTATTATATTTTAAAGTGGTATAACACAGACTTTGTAGAAAACATAATTAACATTATTGGGGAAAAGAACAAGGAACAGAGAACAAAACTCAAAATGTGTTTTCTTCCATTTTGACAGGTTCTCTCCCATACTTATCCCTGAGGCAGAGGGCAGTCAAAAAAAGCAATTTCTCCATCATCTCTGGCAACCAACTCTTCTAATTGAGGAGTTGTATTAAGAAAAAGCTCCAAACTTCTTTAAGACAGACTCAAGTATGAACTTTATGCTATTGCTTCATATCTACAAAGAGGATATGAAACATTAAAAATAACCCAACTTCATAATGCTCAAAACTCAATACTATGTACTTATAAAGGTCAAATACACAAAGTTCTTAGAATATTGAATGATATATTAGTTGATTTCTATTTTAAAAAGTATTGATTCACAACATATATTAATCATCCATCTTTCACATATATTTCCTATAAAATCCTCTATTGGTTTTTTAACAAAAAGGCAACCATTTTGGCTTTTTTATTATGAAATTCTTACCTGATGACATGGTCTCTCCCAACATTACCTTGCAGCGCTTACAAATTACTTTGGTATTTGCCTTTGGTTTCTGTAGAACAGAAAAATGTCATTTAAATGTCATTCGACTTTTCTTAAAAGGAATATATAATTTTAACATAGTCTCTAGAGTATACGTTGAACTTTACATTTTATTTTGCCCTCACTAAATACTGGGAATACATTGAGTTTGTGTGTATAATTCACATGCAAAGAGATAATTTTTTTTCAATTCTAAAGACAGAATAATGAACAGACTAATTTTTCTAAACCTAGCCACTTCTTGATGATCTAAATGTTGCCAGATAATTTGAACAAGAAGCACCTTATATTTCTAGAAAGTACTTCCAAAAAACCCTAATTATTTAGAATTGGCAGATAGTGGGCAACAAAAGCAGAGAGGATAGGTGACTTGCCTCGTGTGTCTGGAAAACAGAAGAAGTAGGACTTGAACTCATTATTTTGACTTTTATTCCAGTTTAACTTATGTGAAAGAAATCTAGAAATCATAACCACCCATCAGAAGTTAAAAATATCTAACCCATTCATATAATATTATTTTTCCATTTAAGACATGCATTGTAACAGGAAAGATGGATAGTGTTCTGGGACAAATCTAACCCATTCATATAATATTATTTTTCTAACCCATTCATATAATATTATTTTTCCATTTAAGACATGCATTGTAACAGGAAAGATGGATAATGTTCTGGGACAAATCCCTGAAACATTCTTAAAATTCAAAAATCCAAATTCATTATTTGGGATACAGATTAAAATAGCTAGCATTCACTTATTCATTAAGAAAACAAAAAATGCTCTGAGATACAGAGAACAGAGGGTGGTTACCAGAGATGGGGTTGGGTGAGGGGTAGGCAAAAATGGGTGAAGGGGGTCAAAAGATACAAACTTTCAGTTATAAAATAAATAAGTCATAGGGATGTAATGTACGGCATGACGAAAAAAGATACAAACTTTCAGTTATAAAACAAATAAGTCATAGGGATGTAATGTACGGCATGGCGACCTATAGTTAATAATACCATATTGTATATTTAAAAGTTGCTAAGAGAATACATCTTACAAGTTCTCATCACAAGAAAAAAAGTTGTAACTATGTATGGTGCTGATGTTAACTAGACTCATTGTGTGATCATCTGACACTATTACAAATATCAAATCATTATGCTGTACACCTGAAAGTAATATAATGTTACATGTCAATTATGCATCAATAAAAATTTTTTCCTGATTTGTAGTTTGTTGTAAGAGATTATATTATAAACAATAGCATAGTGATTAATAGCTGAGTCTGGGACTGGACTTCCTAAATTTAAATCCCAACTCCGTTATTCACTAGACTCGTGACCTGTGATCTTGGGCAAGTTAATTACCATTTTGGTGTCCTCATCTGTAAAATGTGGTTAAAAGTAGCATTTAACTCATAGAGCTATTTATTAAGATTTAGAAAGGAGTGTTGTAAAGCACTGTCCTGGGCACAGGGTAACTGCTAGGTAGATATTATTTAATATAATACCCTTTGGCACACATCATTCAAGAAATGGGCCAAAAAACATACTTTCACAAAAAGAGACCAATTTTTTGCCTTTTACTAGACAGCCACTGTGTATTAAGAATCTAAAACAAATGCATCCATATTAATACTTTGGTTAGAGTCATACAGTATTTTTCTCACCTGGATACATTGCAACATAGCAGAAATTATATACAAGTGAGCAGGGAGAAATAAGTTCTGTAACTCTGGCTACTTGAGGTCATGTCTCATGGGAAACCACAGAATAGAGTACTGGTCTAAGTGAGGAAGTACAGTGACTTTCCAGTGTGGGATAATATACATATTAATCTAAGGTATAAGTCTTAACAGATTAGTATAAGGGAGTAGAATTATATTTCCCTTAACATAACTACTTCATGAAAAACTATATAAGAAGCACAATAAAAATGAATTCCACAGAGTGCTGCTGGTAACTGATAGAGCTGGTATTTGAATCCAGCTTTCTTAGATGCTAAAGCTTATGCTTCTAAGTACTTACGCCAAATGTTTTCCAAAGCAATTCATAAAATCAGTTCAATGGGTTACAGCCTGAATTTTTAAAAAACAAAATGCAATAGAAAATATCACAGTGCTTCAAACATAGGATAAGTATTGCCTCAAGAACCCTTACTTGAGGTGTGTTAATGTATCTGTGTCTCTCTGTGTGTATTATCAAATCTTGATGTAAAAAATGTATTTTTTACTTAGAAGTCAAAAAAGCCCAAAGTCACAGACATAGAAACCAAGGTAGGTCCCAATTTGTTGAGGTCCAGGCAAGGTTATAGGAAGAGGACAGCTCAGAAACCAGGTATGCTCTACTGTAAAGTTGAATATTTTGGCAGTTTCTGCTTTCTTACAGTAAAATCTGCCTGTATGGCTACAAATTGGTATTAAAGACACTTTTTAAAGGATCTTATTTTGTCCAATTCAGACCATCCTCATTAAGCTTTACCAAAACAAAGGGTTTTACTAAAAACTAATACAGAGTGTTAGAGTAGCATTGCTTGAGAAAAAGGGATTTTCTATTCGAAACAGACAATTTTTCATCAGGTACTCTATTATGTACTTCATTTACTTATAACACATTTCACTTTGTCTTTCAATGAAGCAGGAAAAGTAGTTTATGTTGCTTTGTTTTTAAAATAAGATTCTATCATTCATTCATTCATTCATTCATTCATTATGGTGACATTGGTTAACGAAATCCAATAAGTTTCAGCTGTACAAGATTCTATCTTTGGAAGACCTGGGTAATCAGAATTTTAAAATCTGATCAATAAAAAGTAAATTGCCTCAACCAACCAAATTTGTGGATTTTGATTCAATGAACTGACAGTAGAATGTACTTTTGATATAACTGGTAAAATCTGTATATGGCCTAGACTGTATAAACTAATAATTGCTTATTTTTTTTAGGTGTAAAAATGACACTGTGGCTAAGTAAAAATGAAAAACCCATACAGGGATGAAATGACATAATGTCTGGGATTTGTTTTAAAGTGCCTCAGAAAAAAAAAATAACAAAAAGGACAGATGAAGCATACTTTATGAATCATGAAGTTCATAGTTCTATTCTTTTTTATATTTGTGGGTGTTGACAAACTCCAACACATTATTCTAAGAAAATAAAAAAGACACCTATGGATTTAACAAAATTAATTACCAAAATCAATAAATTAGTGCTAAGTACCCTAAGAAAGGAAAAAAAGGTAAAAACGGTTGTTATACTCTCTAGCTATAATATAATTGAAGTTAAATTTCAATTGTTCTTTAAAAAATATGATGAAGTCATAAGCATGGCTATACTTTCTAAGTCTAGAATAACCTTGTGAATCTTATATAAGGTAGACATGCCATCTTTACCACCTATTATAAGATACAAAGTTTTTATTATGTTGATAGACACAAAAAAATAGCACAAGAGGTAACAAAGGCAAAAACAAGGAAATCTTCAACAGATATCTTTAGAAAACAAAGGTATATACTGCTGCCACGTTAACAGAGGCACAGATAACAAACTGTATACTCTAAGGGAATACTGAAAAAAAGATATAAGTTTTAGACTTTATGTTTGCTCTTTTTAAAATCAGATCTTTTAAATTATTATAACACTTAATTTTGTTTAAAGAGAAACTGGTTTGTAATGCATTTTTCTTGACCTATGCTTAAAGGAAAGAATAAATTAAGTCCTGCAATGAAGCAGCCTAACAGTGTGGGAACTCTACAGAGCAAACATCAAAGAAAGACATTGTTGTGGACTAATTAAATCAATATATCTGAGAGATGGCACTGCTGCTCAGAGAGGTGGATTAGCCTCCTGTCCTCATTTTTATTTTCCTCTGTGTTGTTTCACTTTCTAAGGACTCTTGATATTGTCTTGCCAAAAAAATGTTTCCCAAGAGATACCATTAGGATGCTGTGTCACCATGTGACATTTCAAAACCATGCTAGATGGTAGATTGGGTGATATGAGAAATAGGTTTTCAATAGCACAGAGCAGCCTTGTTCCCACAGGAGCCTTGAGAGCACTGTTTAAGCAGTCCCTCCAAATTTATGTTACTATTTTGGTCACAGGCATACTCTTTCAACTGTTGCAATATGCAATTAAAGCGAAACTTCCATCTAGGCTAACTTGAAAGCAATCTTGTCAACAGCAGCTTGTCATGATAGTAATTTCCCAATCTCCCTGATACTAAAAACCACAGTGTCTGAATATGAAGGGTGTTCCTTTAACACATAGGACGGCTGTTCACAATTAAGAGAAATTCTTATAAATTGCATCCTATAACTGATATATATATGAAGAATATGTTTTGATATAGAGTGCAGTTTATCTAAAAATGGAAACTCATGGTTTCTCTTAATTTTTCTCCACTTCTCTTCCACTCACACTCTCCAAATTATTTTTTTTAATTTATAACTTAATCATAATAAGTTAAACCACTTAAAGCAGTATAATATTATGTGTACCGTATATAGTGAAATATGTAGTATATAAATTTAGATTAAAATAATAAGTTAAACCACTTAAAGCAGTATAATATTATGTATACCGTATAGTGAAATATGTAGTATATAAATTTCGATTAAAATATAATTTTAATATAACCATATTAAATTATAACAGATTTATATTACTTTACCACTTAATTTTTAAAATCACAGAAGACTAAAGTACTATAATTTAAAATGAATGAGGTAAAGAGATTGGTGTGTATGGTGAGAGATGAGGCACATAAATAATTATAACAACCTCCATATTTGATGAATTTCCTTACTCTCTCTCAAAATAGAAAATAGTTCTATAAACTAACTTACAACCAAAGAGCTGCCCAGCTGCTGCGTATTTCCTGAAGCGTCTCAGTTCTCATTATAGAAATTAAATGAAATTCAACACATATTACTTCTGTTCCTATCAATAATCAGATGTTAAAACGAAAATCCTCTGGCAAAAATTTTCTTTACTTTTTTAAATCACATCTGTATTGACTTGCCATCAGGAGAATGACTTCTCACCAGGTCCAAGTCAATGCCATTGATTTTCTTTTAAAATAAGGTAAACCACTTGTTCTCTGCAGGGAGAGGAAACTGCCTTCTCCCTAAAGCAACTTTTACAGCAAGAGCCACCAGACCTCACATTGTCTACCACCAACAGAGAGCCTATAGCTCTAGCTTCATGTCCACGCTAGGGCTCCTCCATTTCCTCTTCTTCCTAGTTGGCATCTGCTTTTATGACATAAGCAGAAGTCTAGACTATGGGCAGACACAAGAAAATGCCTAGGTCTAATTGCAATTTGAATTTAAATCAGACTATGAAGATAAAATGTACAATTATGAAATATTGAAAACAAGAAAGTAGGGCGTTTTGGTTCGTAAAATGGTAACATTCCCAGTTCTATGCATGAAGAAGTCCTCTTCCCCTTCTTCCTCCACCCCTGTGGGCTATTTTGCTTTAAGGCCATATGCTCTTACTATGTCAATAGAGCAGAGCTGGAGAACAGAGGCAATTGAAAACAATGGATTTTGGTTTTTAGAACAGTCTGTGTAACAGGCCCTGAATTAAGAAAAGATCAGCAAAACTAGTTTCTAAGCCAACCTCTGCATTAGCATTTATTCTGAAGATATTTTACCAATTTAAAATGGTTCTCAGAAGAAAGACGGTGCGTCACCACTGGGGCTAGTTCAGGTCTTGGCTGCCACAAATCACTTCTTAAATTCACCAAGAAGAAAGAGTCTCCAATAAAACAGTCATTCTCTTGTGGATGAAGTGGCTTATTCGCAAAAGGGTCCGGGTGACAACACCATTCTCCGACTAGAGTTCCCCAGTTGTCACTTGGCAATGGGAGCACCCTGAGGAGCTTCCTAGTAGAAAGAAGAAAAACTATTTTTTACAGAACAAAATGGAAATGTAGCATTTTCTTAATTAAATCAGCATGAAAGATTAAAGAAACACATTAACGACATTGCTTGCTGTGTTTATTTCACCCCAGATTACAAAGGTAATATATACTCACTACAGACAATTTTGAAAATGCAGACAGCTACAAAGAAAACAAACATCCATCCTTTCCTTACTGCCCAAGGACAAGTAACAACTTTGTACATGAAGGTATATTTCCTTGCCATCCTTTCAAGAAACACAGTTGTACATATGCATACCAAGTCTGGGATCAGAGGATGTATGCAAACTATATCTTGCTTTCATTGTTTTATTTAATTATATTATTCTTAACGACTTCATTCTACTATATAGGAATACCAAAACTTTTTAGATCATTCCCTCATTGTTAGATATTTAGGTTTTCAGTTTCTCATTATCAACAACCCTGTGATGAACATTCTTATTAGAAAACTTGTGTATATATCTGATTATTTCCTTGGGAAAAAAATCTTATGAGTGTGAGATTACAAGCACAAATGATATGCATATTTTTAAACCCAATACCTGTATTGGCAAACTGCTTTCCAAAAAGGCTATAAGAATCTGTAATTCTTCCACTTACCTTCTTCAAAATTTAATACTATATATTTTTTTCATGTGTGGATGAAAATGTTTCCAATACAGCTTTAATTGGCAATTCTTTAATTAATGGTGTGATTGAACAGACATATATTTAGTGATCACTGTGTTTCTTCCATGAATTGTGATCGATGACTACTTTCTGATGCGGTATTATTGTGTTATTAATTTATAAAAACCTATTCTATATTAAAGATAGTAGTCCTTTGTCTATCATTTGTGGCAAATACTTTTTTCATTGTTATTGTCTTTTAATTTGGTTTACATGTCTTAAACTTCGAATCACCTAACCCTTTTCTTTGTGATTTCTCTCACTACTATTTTTATAAATTTTTTGCTTTGGAGTAATTTTAGATTTACAGGAAAGTTACAGAACAGTACAGATAGTTCTTATATACAGTTAACTTAACTTTCTCTAATGTTTACATCTCATTTAACTATGGAAGATGTGTCAAAACTACAGACTTTATCCGGATTTCCCTAGTTTTTCTACTAAGGTCCTGTTTCAGGATCCAATTCATGATAACATACCGCATTTAGTCATCATGTTTCCCTAGTGTCCTCTAGTCTGTGGCAATTTCTCAGTCTTCCCTTATTTTTTAGAACCTTGAGATTTTTGAAGAATACCAGTCAGTTGTTTTGCAAAATATACCTCAGTTTGAGTTTGTCTGATATTTTCCTTAAGATTAGACTGGGCTTATGGGTTTGGGGAAAAAATACCACAGAGGTGAGTCCCCTTCTCATCACATCATATTGGAGGTTACACCTTATCAATATGACTTATCACTGGTGATGTTAATTTTGATCACTTGGTTAAGATGATACCTGCTAAGTTTCCCTACTAGTAAAGCTACCATCTCTCCCCTTGTATACTCTATTCCTTGGAAATGAGTCATTAAGCCCAGGCCACACTCAAGGGGAGAGAAATTAAGCTTCGCTCTGCCATTCTTTTTTATGCTTAGAACATTCTTATAATTAAGTAGTCCCTTATATTTCCTAATAGTTTTCTTTTTATGGTTTCTTTTTTCTTTTCTAGACAACAATAGATAATTGAGATTTTACCAGGTGGGAAGCCAAACGTGGTTCACTTCCATTCTACTCTAAACTAGGAAGATCGGTCTAAGGGGAGAAGAAATGAGAGCAGGATAATGAGGACATTTCAAAATAATTTATCCTGAGAAAAACTGAGACTAGAAATTTGCTCATGGTCTTTCTAATGTCCATGAGCATTGTGAATGCTCAAAGCATCCTGAATACTTGCATATTTCCGCTCTTATCACTGGAACCATGTGCTTACTAAGAGTCAACTGTGTTTGATCACAGACCTGTTTATGACACTTGTGTATGTGACATTAGTTACATAATTCAATTAAGTTGTAGGCAAACCACAGAAATATGAGTTGCTATTCCTCTGAAATCTAAAGCTTTCAGACTAGATGAAAGCCAGTTGTTAAAAAAAAAAAAATCACTGGTGGGATGTGGGAGCTATAACTATAGAACAGTGGGGAGAAGAATAAAAAGTCAAAATCTAGAAGAATTCTGCAATCAGACTGTTGCAATAGTGTTTAACTATTCATTCCACTTTAAAGAAACTGAACTGGAAATTGTGGATGATGAATTTTGGATGGCTTAAGTGAAAAAAGCTATACAACAGTGGAGTCATATTCAACAGAAAGATATTGATTCCATAATAAATTACTGGTAAATTAATGTATATTTGCATGTTTTAAATAAAATGTTTAAGATGTTAATTTATCATTTTTTAATGATTCTCCCATATCAACCCTTTCCTTCATTCGCCAATCAACTATGAGTCTCGTAAAAGGGCAATTACATTATGGAAGACATTTAATTTATAACTCCAAAGGACAGAAGTAAGAACAAGAAAGGCTGATTTTAGTTTAATAGAAGAAATTTTCCTTTCAAATTAGGAGATGCTGCACCACTAGCATTATTCAAGCTTCTGAGCCTGTTAAAAATATTAAGTGATCTTTTAACATAGTTTCTAAAAGTCTACTATGAATCAGGCATTATGCTGACACCAAATATTAATACATACTGTCTCTTTTCTCAAGGTACTCATGTTCTAGAAGATACAAACATATAAACAAATACTAAAACCATAATGTAATAAATGCGCATAACACAGTAGTGGTTCTAAATTCCTGTGGGGTGGAGGGGGAGGAGACAGCTCAGATCTTTTTGAAAATTTGATGAAAGCTTTATAGCTCCTTTCTTCAAATATACATTCTCACATGCATGTAAAATCGGCAGATTACTTTAGAGGATTCATGGATTTGCAAAACCAATCCATGAATTCAGGGCAATGTAAAAGTGCTAGGAGAGTAGAGTATACATGGACTTCAGAGAAGAAATAACATCTGAGCTGACCTTTGAAGGATAAATAGTAGTTCTCTAGGCAATGGATGGAATTAAAGGCATTAAGGGTGGAGGAAACAATGTGAAGATGGCACCATATCTGTTTAACTTAACGCTGTATTCCTAGTGTCTGACACAGTGCCTGATTCATAGTGTAAGTCCTTAAATATTTGTTAAAGGAATGAACAAGCATATTTTCATAACTTTAACATGCAAGGCCCCTGGCTGGGTCTGCTGCATACTGGGATGAAAAGGTTAACAAACCTTTTCTCTTGCTGCCTGAGAACTTGACCTTTGGTTTAACCACCTAGTTCTGTTACCCTGGGAACCAAGTAGATGGTAGGCATCAATTATATTGCTAGGCGATGCTGCTTATGGTAAAAAGGTTCCCTGATTGGTAAATGGTATCTCGACTGGGTAGAAGTATAAATGAGCTGTAAATATCTCATGAGGATGCCATGCTTTGGACTTCCCCGAATGCAGTCCTTTGTGGAGACTGCCAAAGAATTGTTTCAAGAGATACTTGCTGCTTAGGGCCTGAGGCTTCTTCTCAGGGTATCTCCTGCACCTGCCTAATGTGGATCTTGCATTTTACACCTGGAACCATGTTGTATGGGAAGACAAGAGTCCCCAAACAGTTATATGAGCTTGTTTGAACTGCTGCAAGACCCCTTGTTTGAACTGCTGCAAGACTCCTGCTGAGAGGAATGCCTGATGTTGACCTGCTGGCAAGAAATGTGGCCTGTGGTAGTGTTGTGAGTCTGCATGTTTAGTCGAACTTAAGACCTCTGGTGGGCACTACACACACCTTTTCCATTTAATGCTCACTAAAACTTTGTGAGATAAGAATTTCCATTTCCCTTTAACAGAGGAGGAAATGTAGGCTCAGAAATGTTAAATAATCTGTACAAGTTCACACAGCCAGAAGTGATAAATGAAGGCAGGATCTAAATCCAGGTCTTCCTGGCTTCAAAGCTAACCTCTTTCCCATGGAAAAGATTCTTTCCCCTGGCAATGCAGAGCATGAGTAAAGGAGAGACTGGGAAAATGGGACAGTGGCACAATGTGTAGGGTGTTACATGGCAACCTAAGGGGCATAGACTTGGCTCTACAGATAAGTGGGAAGCATTATAGAATTTTAAGCAGAGAAGTGATAGGTCAGATTTGAATTTTTACAAAGAAGAGAAAGAAGGCAAACAAAAGTGCCTAGTTAGAGTGGAAGTTTGGCCTAAACGGGCTCCTAGATCTTCTTCGTCACTAAGATTCTCTGTCTCTTGACATTTTGCACGCAGTCCTAATAAGTAGATCCTCAATACTGTGCAAAAGACAGCAATATCAAAATCTCATGCATGATTATAAAAATGAAACTACACCAAGATTTACAGAGGTTTGGAAGACCTGATGCACATTAACATAAAATGTGATATTTCAAACTTAACTTGATCCTACTTCACAATGAATAAAAGCTATAATATATCCCATAAATACCTAAATAGTACACTAGGAGCAAGAAAGTGCCTAATTCACAAACCATTGCAAAGGCAAAAGTGTTTGTACAGCAGAAATTTTTCTGATGTTTTGAAAAAACATAAAACTTTTTAAAACAAAAGATGTATATTAATCACAGCACCACTGGAAGTATATCTATCGCAAACTGAAACTTTGATATGATCTACTTCCCAAGAGAACTTTCAAAATAGGTACAATTTTTTTCAAGGTAGTTTTTAGGTAAAAACCAGCAGAAGCTCAGAAAAAGAGTGAAATGGCCTCCTGAATTTTCCCTCAGCTTAAGATTCTGTGATGAACAGCAACCCATGTTTACAATAAATTAAAATTTTCTAGTTAATTTTAATGCATCTTAAGCAGAAGTTTTTGAGAAAAGTAACTTAAAATAGACAATTTTAACCAATACTATTGACTGATGGTGTTTATTGAAAACTTAAACATATAGACAAGAAAATGA